GTTAGCAGCGGAGAATGGGCTGGGCACGTGACTCCTGCATCCGTACCCTTTGGGCAACACATCCTTGGCAAGGCTGTGCAAGGAGCTCCTGCCTCACCAGCAGGCTTTAACCCCCAGGTTCATGGTTTGAGCAGCTTCAGGAGGGGAGGCGCAAGAAGGGGAGGGCTGTCTCCCCCAAAGAAGCCAGTTGAAGCCCAGGAGGCTAATTCAGAGGAGCTGATCCAGCAGGGAGGGGCTGAGGAAGGCCAAGGGAACCTCTATTCTCGATTTGGAGATGGGCAGAGGAGGCAGCTCAGAGCAAACTCCCACCGGCCGTATGAGGAATGGCTAAGGGAACGAGATACATCTAGTCCAGGGGTAGGCAACCTTGGCCCTTTTATGACTGGTGGACTTCAACTCTCAGAATTCCTGAGCCAGCCATGCTGAGGGGAAAGGGAGAGGTTTCCAAGCTGAGCCATGCTGGCTCAGGAATTCTGGGAATTGAAGTCCACGAGTCATAAAGAACCAAGGTTGCCTGCCCCTGGACTGGTCTATCGAAGAGAAGGATTAGGCAGGACATGAGAGCAGTCTTCCAGTAGGCCTTGACTTACTCTCTAAAGCACCTGAAAGCAGGACAAGACATAATGGGTGGAAGTGTAAACAAAGAAAGAGCCCATCTAGAAGTAAAGAGAAATTTCCTGGCCGGGAGAACAGTGAATCAATGGAACAGCTTCTATTGGTGAATTCCTGTTTTATTGTTTCCAACTTGCTCCAAAGAACATTCAGTCCCTCCTTAGGAGAAAAAGAATGGAAGAATAATTTAGATTGGGTTGAAGCTTGAGGAGGGGGTGGGGCAGGTGGTCATCTAGGTGCTGGAATCCCCACAGTGGGGACCTGGGCAACAGGGAACTGCTTTAATCATGTGGGATATCAAGATGATTGCAGCACCTGAACCCCCGAAAAGGGAGGGGGCCCATCTGGTCCCTCATGGTGCCTAATCTGCCAGGCCCCCCCCCACTGGGCCAGGCTCCAGTTGCAGCCCGGGAGAGTCAGCTGTGCTGGCTTTCTCTACCTGCATCGCAACGTTGCACCACCCAAGTCAGAACACACAGTGCCAACACTGCAACCATTTCACTGTTCTTGCAAAAAGAATACAAGCTTGCAGAAGCCTCTGGGGAAGAGCTGGCTGAGCAGAAGGCCCACATTTCCGTAATCTTTGTGAATAAAAGGATGAAAACTGGACTCCAGCAACAGTCTCTAAAGAATTGATGCACAAGAAAGACCCTATTTTTATACAGCATTCTCTTCGTCTAAATTTATGGTAGATGCAAAATTTGGTCTCACAAGGCCAACATGTTCCTACAGCTGAATCTGCCATTATATTTATCACACTGTTTGAATCTTTCTTCCATAAATAAAAGCACAGCCTCTTTGGGATTTCTCTTCATCTCTGTCTCACAAGTGCAGGCATTAAAACGTCTGTGCTCTTGGGGGGACAACTCTGTAAGAAAAACCCGCAGACTCGGCAGCCCCTTTATTGAGCAAGCTCCCTCCCTGTGTCCGGCTAGGGCAGGGCAGGGCAGGGCTCTGCTTGCTTGGGGGGGGGGGCTCCCTCTTCAGTGCTTGGCAGGCACGGCTGAAAGAGAAGCAGCCACCCCACGTGGGAAGGAGAAGCCTCCTCTGGGGCAGCCATGACAGACGCAGCAGCCTTTGCTCCTGAGGCACCAGAAAAACAGCCCAACGGGAGTTTTGCAAGCAAACCTCCTTCCTTCCACCTGAGGGCCTGGATGTGCCTGGAACAGGAAGGCAGGTGCCTTGGCAGGTGGCAGGCAGGCCAACCCCCGGATTGGCTTTATCCCTTGAATCTTTCAAGGCCGCCCAGGTCAAGAGAACCTCTTGAGAAGCTTCAAACGCATGTTGTGAGTCCTGTTAGGAGCGGTCAGAGAAATGTAAAGGGGGGGAGGAGGGGCTGAACACCTGGAATCCTCTGCCCAGTTCTAGTTGCCCCGTACATAAAGGATTATGGGAACTGGGAGGAGTGCAAGGAAGAGCAGGAAAGGTGGTCAGGGGCCTGGAGGATAGTTCCTATGAATAGTAGTTACAAGAACATGGTTTGTTTAGCTCAAGAAAAGGAGATAGGTGAGCCGTCTCCCAGGGATGTCCCAAGAAGAAGGTGTGGGTATGTTCTCCATAGGGGTGGGACAAGAACCAAGAGGTGGAAGCGTTATAGAGGGAGGGCCCAACTTGAACTGTGGAGAAATTTCCTGTCAGAGCTAGAAAGTAATGGACAGCCTGCCTCCTGCTGCTGAGGGAGGTCTTTAAGGAAAGACTGGGTAGCCATTTGTCCAGAATGGTAGATAGGAGGCTGGACCAGAGCCAGGGGTAGGCAACCTTGCCTCTTTTTTGATTTGTGGGCTCCAACTCCCAGGATTCCTGAGTCAGCATAGCTGGTTCAGGAATTCTGGGTATTGAAGTCCACAAGTTGTCAAAGAGCCAAGGTTGCCTACCCCTGGACCAGACAATCTCCAAGATCCCTAACAATTCTTATCCCAAAGGTGCTTTTTTCCTCGGAAGAAAAAAGGCTCCAGTTGCCTTTGGAAAAAAAGCACCTTTGGGATAACTATGACCGAGAATCTCCATAGACATTGATACCAATTATTATGATTCCTACAAGGGCCACCTCTTCGCACATGCCCAGTGGCCAGGCACGCAGGAGCTGAATGCCAGAGGTGGGGAAAGCAAATGTTTTCTGGTGTTGCCTCTGGCTATGGGAAGCAACCCCAGGCAGGGCTGGGCAAGGGGTCAAAGGCTCCCCAGCCGAGGGCAGTGGGAAAGAGAGCCCCATTTGCAAAGGTGTGACTTTCACCACTCAGCGCCTTAATGGTCGTCACTCCAGCCTTGGGAAGTGTGCAGGCAGCAATTCACACAGAACCGAGAGCTGCTAATGCTCTGGCTGGCCTTTCTGGGATCAGCTTCCCTGGGACAGCCCCTCCCGAGTTGCCCCCCAGCCCCAGGCCAGGTGGACTATGATGGATTCAGCCACCCCTCCCTCTCCCTCTCTCTCACCCAGCAGCCGAAAACACGATGTGCCCTTCTCAGTGGAGACCCTGGGGGGGGGCCTCTCCCCCCTGGCACGCCGACCCCCAGAAACCTTTGCCCCTCCTTTCGCCAAGGGCACACATCTTCTTGGCACTGGCTTCCCAAGCCTTTATAGTTGGATTCTCCAGCAATTCATCCTCCTCCTCAAGCCTTTTTTCATTAACTCAGGGGACGAGTTGTCTTCGGTTAGCCAGACGCCCACGGGAGACAAGAACATGTGGATTGAATGTGTTTTCCTTTCTTAATTCTTTCTCCTTTCCGCTTGTATAGTGCCTTCTTTGGCCTCTCTTTTACCAAGAGATTTTCTCCTTCATCTCTGTCCCCCTGTGAGAAATGCTCCCAAAATGTGTTCAGTGGAAGCACCACAAATGTCTTCCCCCCAGAAGGTCGGGGGTCAGAGAGGGAGCCTTGCCTTTCTCTGGTGTCCTCCCAGATTCACCGAGAGTGAGCTGCCCCCCAAGAAGAAAAAAGAGAGCCAGGGCACCCTCTGACTCCTGCCCTCACCACCCCTCTGGCAATTGCTTTTCTCCACTTGCTTCCCCGTCCGGGGAACAGATGAGCTCCCACTTTCTCTCCCAGAATAAAACTCCAGGTCTTGGGAATGCAAGGGTAGCCTCTCGGTCTCCACACTCCCACCAAAATCCAAGGGGCAGAATGATGTCCTCCAGTCTTGCCCGCCCCCCATGGAGGCCCAGGCATCCTTCTGCTCTAAAGGAATCTGGCACAGTTTGCCTCCTTGCACCCCTCTCCTTGCTCTTCTCTCTGCAGTTCCAGGCGCACAACCCGGAGGGAAGGCTGTTGCCAAGCGCTTGTCCCAGCCCAGCTCTTCATTAGTCCCGAAGGGCTTGATTGGTGAAATAGGGGCCTGAGTGGCGATTTCAGAAGCTGGCGAGGAAGAGAACAGAAGCTGCATTTCGCTTTTGCCCCCATCTCAGGGGCCCCAATCCCTGGGAGCTCTTCTGGAAAACGTGTGGAGGGGCAGATTTCCCAGGGCCGGGTGTAAAAAAAGCCCTGCCCTTGTCTAAACAATGAGGTCGTCCCGTGTGAAGATTCATCTCAAGTCTGCAGTTAATGAGACAGGCAGGTGTAAAGAGAGGGCTGGGGGGGGGGCAGCAGCCTTCGGGCAGGCCAGTGGGGTGTTCCTGCTTCCATGGGCAGGCAAGTCCTCCTGAGAATCTCCTGCTGAGACCATCCGCCCTCGCTGGACTTCATCTCACCACCATCGCACCACAGAGCCAGCAGCCCCTTCAAAGTCCCAGAACTCCCCCCAAAAGCCTAACTGCTCCCCCAACGCTTCATCACCAGAGCCTGGGGGGTGAGATTTCAATGGGGTGAGGCCCTTTCAGAGTGGGGCGTCTCACACACTCCACAATGGGATCCGAGCCTCTGATCCCCCAGGACAATCACTGCCTGCCACGGGCAGAGGGGGACAGGCTGACCCTGGCCGAACTCCCCGCAATCCCAGGCATTCCTCCGTAGCCCGATCCAGTTTTTATCCACACCCTTTCCAGACGGTCCCCGAAGTGCGCGCGTGTGTGTGGGGGTGAGCCAAAGGCAGGAGAGGCTCCGGGTGTGCTGGGAATTCCAGGCCGGACCCTCCGTTGGGGTCGGGAGAGCAAGGGGGCTGCCAGGGCCCTGCAGGCAACGCGCCCCGGCCTGGCAAAGCCCCCCGCAGAGCTGCCCAGGGCGACCAACCTCGGGTGCCCCGGCCAGGCCGAGCGGGGGCAGCTGCCTACGCCGCCCCCCAAAGCCGAAGCCCCCCCGCAGGACCCTCCGCCTGGCCGCGCCTTCCCATCGCCGGCTGGAAGCGCCCGGCCGCCCCCTCCCCGCCGTGAAGTGCGAAGGCCCGGCCGAGGTGCCAACTTCACACCCGGCCGGCATAAAGCGCTCCGCGCGCGGCCCGTCCCACACAAGCGCCCACCATGGCCCGCAGCACCCGCGACGGCTGCCCCTCTCCGGAGCCGGCTTTCCCGCGGCCCTCCTGCTGCCCGTGCCCGGGCTCCAGCAGCGCCTCGCCGGCCTCCTCCCCGGACTCCGGCGGCTCTTCGCCGGCCTACCGGGGCTGGCGGGCGGCGGGCGGGCGGGCGCGGCTGGGCGGTGGTCAGCGGCAGAGCGCCAGCCAGCGCGAGAAGCTCCGCATGCGGCGCCTGGCCCAGGCCCTGCACGCGCTGCGCCGCTACCTGCCGGCCTCGGTGGCGCCCGCCGGGCAGAGCCTGACCAAGATCGAGACGCTGCGCCTCGCCATCCGCTACATCGGCCACCTCTCCGCGCTGCTCGGCCTCGGCCCGGAGCCGCGCCCGCCGCCCCACCTGCCCGAGCCGCGCCTCGCGCCCGCCGCCCCCGCCCGGCTGGAAAGGGAGCCGTGGCGCGCCGCCCCCGCCCCGGGCTGCGGACCCGGCGGCCGAGCCGGCGCCGCGCTGCTCCCGGCGGAGCTCCCGGCCGCGCCCCCGTCGCCCGCCTGCCAGGTAGGTCTCTGGCCGCCCGGCCCGCTTCTGCCGCCGCCTCCCGCCCTCCTGCGGGAGAGGGGCTGGTGGCGCGGCGGGAACCTCACCGCTCCCGTCTCTCCCTGCAGAGCCTCCCCGACGAGCTGCTCTCCTTCCTGGAGGACTTCTTCCCGCTGGCGGCTCCCGGCAGGGACTGACCTCGCCCGCCGCCGCCGCCGCCGCCGCGCCTCGGGGACCAAGCGGCGCAGCCGGCCGGCCGGCCCGACCGCCAGCAGAAGGGGCGCCCCCCGCCCGCCGGACGGAGCGCCGCGCTCTCCGGGCAGACCTGGCAGCGGCGCCGAGGGACCCCGCCCGAAGGGGCCTCCGAGCAGACGCCGAGCGGATCACGGGGAGCGGCGGCGCTCTGGCTGCGAGCGCTCGAGACCCGCTCGGGCTTCGGAGGCAGCGTCTCCTCCGGGCCCATCGGCTTCGCTGACCGGCCCGTCTGGGCGAGGACGGAGGACGGAGGACGGCCCCTGGACTGGCCGGGCCGCTGGACGCCTCTCCGGCGCTGGGCAGCCGCGCTCCTCGCCCAGCCGGCGCGCCGGATTCGGACTTTTCGGAGCTCCGGGGGGCTGTGAGGAGCAGGCGCCCCCTGGTGGCGGAGTCTGCCCTGATTTCTCCGCTTGGCCCCTTGCGTTACTTTCCGAGGATATTTGTTTTCCCTGAAACTGCCGGACTCTTTGTAACGTTTACATTGTTTTGACAATTCTGATGGTATTTATTGTTATGGTTGTTCAAGAAAACTGGGGTAGAAACGATTAGGTAAAATAAATGTTTTTTAAAAATTTGGAGCTGAATATAATGATGTTTTTAAAGAAAACTTTGGACCCTGGAAAGCAAAGCCCAAACGCAGGGAAAAGATAAAGGGTGTTGAGGAGGGGAGAGAGTCCGTCCTCCGCCTTTTGCCACAAAGAGCCACGCAAAGGCCGGATTAGGTGTTGCTGGGCCTCCTGACCGGTAACGGCGGCTGTCGAGGTCCCTGGTGGGCTGTGAGCACCTTCCCCATAGCAGCAGCTGCTCCCAAGGAGGGCAATAAACTGACCCAGCTTGGTCTGGGGAACCGGCCAGGGAGGAGAGGACCCCAAACCGAGTGGGGGCTCTGCCGCTTTCCTCAGGCCCCTCCAGGAAGAGGCTGTTGCCTGGCCATCCAACCCGCTGCCCCACGGCCATTCTCTGGGGCAGACGGAGGAATAGCTCGTTTATTTAAATGACTTGGATTCTGACTCTGCTGGGTTCAGAAACATTTGCCTCTGTTTTAACTCTGTCTCGTAGGACAAGCCATTCGGCCCTGTTTCATACAGAAGCCGTTACTTGCACAACATGCTGCTAACGTGGCTTGGGGCAATGTGTAAAAGTCCAGATTCGGAATCACCTCCTTCTCCCGCCCCCCAGCTCCCCCCCCCAGCTGCGCAAGAGCCACCTGGCTGCATTCCGGGGTGGGGCCGAGCAGATGTGACCCTGGGCAGAATTAGAGGGACATCTGTCCAGGGGCGTCTCTCAGTGAGCAGCCCTGACTGCTGCAGGCCCCCTCCGCCTGCTTTCCAGGGCTGGCGAGGCAGAGAGCAAGCCAGGCTCCGGGTCCCGGGCAGCCGTTGGAGGTAGGTTGCTGAGACCCTACAGAGGACAGCAGCGGGAGGGGAGGGGGCTGCTGGGGAGAGCACTGGCTCTGATGGCCCGCCTCGCCTTCCTTTTCTCCCTCCTAGGGGCCCGGTGGGCAGATCAGGCTGTGATTCATTCCCCTGCCCCATGGAGCACAACGGGAGCGGGCTGTGGGGAAGGGGCTCCTCTTTCAAAGGCCTGGAGGAGTCTGTGGTGCTGCCCATCTTCTCAGCTGCTGCTCAGGTCCGAGTGGGACTCACCCTGCTACTGTGTGTGATCTCGGCCACCTGCAACCTGGCCGTGCTGTGGAGCGGCTGGACCAGGCCTGCGGCCAAGGGCTCCCACGCACGCCTGCTGCTCCTGCACCTGGCGGTGGCAGATCTGCTGGTGGCCCTGGTGGTGATGCCAATAGACGCCGCCTGGAACATCACGCTGCAGTGGCAGGCTGGAGACGTGGCCTGCCGGCTTCTCATGTTCCTCAAGCTGCTGGCCATGTATGCCTCGGCCTTCGTCACCACTCTGATCAGCCTGGACTGCCAAGCGGCCATCTTACAGCCCCTGGCCACTGCCCGAGCTTGGCGCAAGAACCAGATCTTGCTCTACGCGGCCTGGCTGATGAGTGCCAGCCTCTCTGCTCCTCAGGTACCTCCCAGGGGCAAGGCTAGGGATCCGTGGCCTTGGGGGGAGGGGGTGGACCCTTGCTCCAAAATCTCCCAGTTCCTGCCATTGCCCCTGCAGCTGTTCCTGTTCCACACGGTCACCATCAGCTCCCCACAGAACTTCACCCAGTGCACGACCCACGGCTCCTTTGCCCAGCACTGGCATGAGGTGGCTTACAACATGTTTGGCTTCCTGGGCCTTTTTCTGCTCCCACTGCTGGTCATGAGCGCTTGCTACACCCGGGTCCTGCTGGAGATTTCGAGACACGTCAGCTCCTGCAACAGCTGTGAGTGTGGCTGGCTGGGGGGGGGGGGAGGAAGAGGGATGGCTGTAAGTTGTTCTACATTGAGCCACAGTTTTGTGGGAGGGTCTGGAAAAGCCTAAATCTGAACGGGAACCCACAGGCCAAGTAGGGAGAGGAAAGAATTCCCCAGCGGTGTCAAACTAGTTTCATAACTTTCCCGAAGGAGCTTCATGCTTTTGGATTTTTTTTCTTAACAAAACAAATTAACAGAAAAGGCATCAATTGCAAAAAAAAAAAAAAAAAAGGTCTACCCAATATGTTCATTATGGACAAACACCTAAGAGAAACATTTTAGGAAAAACTGCACAAAAATCTGCATTAAGCAACGAAAGTACAAGATCTGTGAGCTGTGGGCGAAAGGAGAAGCTGGACTGGCACAAGCTGGCCCTTGGGCCTCCGAGCCCCCCAGGCTGACCAGGTTGCCCTCTTTGTTTCAGGGTCTGCCCAAGAGATGCCCTTGCGCCGCTCGCGCAACCCCATCCCGAGGGCGCGTCTTCGCCTGCTGCATCTCAGCCTGGCCATCGTCGGCTCCTTCGTGCTCTGCTGGACCCCTTACTACTTGCTGGGCCTGTGGTACTGGTTCTGGCCAGCAGGCATGGAGGGGACAGTGAGCCCCTCGCTGGCACACATCCTCTTCCTCTTTGGCTTGCTCAACGGCTGCCTGGACCCCATCACCTACAGCCTCTTTGCTGGGCGCTGGCAGGGTGGGTGCCGCCGGGCAGCCGGGCAAGGGAAGCAGCTGCCCTCCCCCGTCACCGGCTCCTTCCAGGGCTCAGTGTCCTCTGTCCGCCCCACAAGAGGGGGCCGGCCGCTCCTCTCTGACACGGCCGAGGTGGCCCTGGGCTCAAGGCCTCCCCTGAGGGCAGCTCCGTGCCCCACTGACAGCCCTTCCAGCCAGTTCAGTGGGAAGGCTGCAAGGCCGAGTCTCCTTCCGGCCGTGGAGCTTCCGGCTCTCTCTCCTGGGCCAGAGGAGGAAGGGGCTCTGGCAGGGACCCCCCACACACACAGAGGCCCCTTACGAGAGAAGGAGCCTGGAAGGCCCCGAGTTAGGCTCCCTCTGAACTAGCTGGGAGGGGGGCTTCCATAAAAAATGCATCCAGCCGTTCCCACCTATTGCTTAAGCAATCCTGAGTTCTAATCCCAACACAAGTGCGAGCCAGCTGGGTGACGCTGGGCCAGTCACTCTCAGTCAAGTCACTTCTGACAAACTTTGCCAAGAAAACTGTGGGGCTGGTCCAGGCAGTTGCCAGACGTCAACATTCAAAGGCATACTTGCACAGGTATACAACAATGAGAATTTAAATCGAAGGCATATTAAACTTATACTGACCATTACACTTGGATAATACTTATATGAAATATTTTATCTTTGGTGTGTAAACCCCAGGCTTGAATATTAAAATTGCCAGTTCATTTTTTAACAATTACTGGAAATCAGGTTAGATTATTCTTCCATATCTGGTGGCATCGTGGCAAAGCTCAACCATTGGAGAATGACTCATATCGGAAAGGTTCCATCCCAGGGTCATGAAGGAGCTGCCAGACACGCTCTTGGAACTATTGAACCAATTCTTTCAAAGATCCTGGAAACTGCCAGAGGAGTGGAAAAGAGCCCACGTGGTTTCAATCTTTTTTTTTTTTAAAGCGGGGGGGGGGGAGTAGATCCAGGAAACTTGAGAGCATCTTGTGCAGCAGAGGGCAGTGCAGGAGAGGGAACGAGGGCAGCCTGGCGGTTCAACCCACCCAGCCAGGGTCTCCTGGAGGGGCAGCTTTCGGCACTTTCTATCTTTCTGCTGCAGCCAAATGTTGCAGCATGAACAAGAAGCAACTCCTGGCCCATCTGGAACTGGGCCATGCCCCAAAGGGTTGCTGGGGTATTAGGACAGAGTCAAACCTCTGAGGAGGAGAAAACTGGGGTGTCTTCTGTCCTGAGCGAGGAGCAGCACAGCAGCAAGAGAAAACATTCCCCAACCAGCAGCAATATCCTGCACAGGTTTTTCCAGCAAGTCAGCCGCATTTTGCAGACTTCTGGCTTCTCCTGGAAGACTCCAAGCAAAGGAGGTGGATTTGGGGGTGCCTACTTCTGCTTTTAGGGTACACAGTGTGGCTTTCTCTTGCTTTCTAAAATATGCTGCTTTCAAAACACAAACACTGCATTTCTGGTCCTCAAGGAAGGCAAAACTCCCAACACTTCCTTTGGGTTCTCAGTAGCTCTGCACCATCAATTCCATCTGGAAAGATGCCAGTTAGTGGAAATGGAGCCAGGCAGCAGAACGGGGGAGGGGGAGGCAACACAGCTTCCCTCCCCTGCCAAGGTGTCTGCATTGGGGCAAATTCTGTTCTTATGTGCATTTATGCCAGCCGCGATGCCAGCCTGCTCCCCCCCTCAAGATCACCTGAGTTTCTCCCGAAGGCTATTGATGCAGTCTGAGAACAAGCTCCCTGGGAGAGGGAGCCACAAGATAGGGTTAAAAAAAGTCAAGATGGCATTATGGAAGCTCCACCTGTTTTTTTTATATGCATCAGATGTGCTGACACCCCTTCCGTATGTCACATTGTGGAATACAGTGGGGAAAGCATATGAATGTAAAGCGATCCCTGAATATTAATTGCAAGATGGAAATAAAAGAGGCTCTGGAAAGCGAGTTGGCAGAGAATCCGTTTCTCCGGGCAGATTCTAAGTATTCCTATGCGCTTTATGAAAAGGTTTTCACACGCACAGCGGAATGTGCTACTGCAGCTGATCTTGTGCAGACGGCCTTCTTCTTTTCATAGACAACTTTGGTGTCCTGGGCTTTGCACACTGCTGGGATCGTAGATGTTGTCCGAGAGCAATCTGTGCCCCACCTGGCCAGCAAGGCTGGCCAATAAAAAGAAGATGTTCTTACTTGGTTCTCCTTCAGGGCATGGAGGATAATCTTGGCAGATTCGCTACCGTGGAAGTCAGTTGTAGCAAAAGCTTTGTCTTCTGACATTTGTCCTCATGCCAAGCCACGGATGCTGAGGTATTTGTGCCTGGCAACTCACAATCCACATTTGGAGGGCAGATCCTGCCCGATTTGGAGAATGTGAGGTGGCTGATGAAGCCACGTATAACAACCGAAGCATGTCTTCAGCTGGGGCAAGGGTGTCGTGGTGCACAACTTTCAGTGGCAGTGGAAAACAATGCCCTTCTGTGGTGTCTATAAGAACATGTGCCACAGATAGAAGCAAGATGTGGCCAGCTACTCAAAGTCTTGTGTCTGCCAGCAAGTGGGCAGTTGAAAGCTCTTCTGCAGCTGCTTCCGGTTCTCAGTCTCCCATTCCAGAAAGTGTCAACCCGCTCCTTAGGCCCAGGCCCAGCAGACCTACACCGAGGAAATCAGCTTTATTGGTTTATCTATTTAGGATTAAGATTTACATATCACTGAATAACTCAGTGGTGCACAATTAAAGCAACATTATAAAATATGCTAACATAGCCAAAAAATGATAACTATAATATTTGACATAAAAGTAACCTGTCAGTGCTGCCATCAGTCCACAGAGAAGACTTTCCATCCTTCTAGCAGGGGGAGCTGCTTCTCATTTCAGGCAGCCGGAGGAGCCCCCTCCGCCCTCCCTGCCTCCTCAGAGGCAGCAACGCAGGAGGACGGCAGGAGGACACAAAGGCTTGTCTGCTTCTAACTGAGGTGCTTTTGGAGCGTCTCTCCCGGGGCCCCAATAGTTTCAGCCCATTTTCTGGATGAGTCCCGGCTCCCTTCTCCCTCCAAGGGGAAAGCGGCCTGGCCGGGCGCTGCCCCTTTCCCACCGACCCGAAGATTCTGGGCAAGGGCCTTCCCCCCACCCGCGCCGTCCGCCAACTCCTCCCCGGCCTTTGCCCTCCGAGGACTCACCGCGTCTCCCACCGGAGCGGGGGCGGCGGCGGGTCCCCCTCACGCCCACTTCGGAGCGCCTCCCCCGGCAGGGCAGCGGGGCCGGGAAGGGGTCAGCCGCCTGGTCTCCGCCCCCCCCCGAAGGAGCTCGGCTCCTGCGGGGGAGGGAGATGCCTGGGCCGTTATTCCCCAGCGCGGGAGAGGGCGGGGGGGGGCGGTTGGGGGCTCCGCCGCCTCGCCGACTCAGCGCTTTTCCGGCTTGAACTGAGCCGCCCTCGCAGGCTGAGAAAACAGCCGCGGGGCACGGAGCGCTCGGCACGCAGAGGCCGGCGCCGGGCGGAGGGACGCGGGGCAGGGGAGGGGAGGGCCCCCTTCCCGGCTCGCCCCTCCATCTTCTCCTCCGCGCCCTCGCCGGAGAGCTTCCCGGCTGCCCGAGGGCCGCTGCCGGCCCTCCCTTTGGCCAAGGTCGGCTCCGGTCAGGCCCGCTCGCCCGGAGGCCCGGCGAGGCCTTCCGCGCCGGAGAGGAGAAGCGGCGGGGTAAAGTTGGCAAAGCTGCTCTGGGCCCAAGAGGTCTGGCCAGGAAGTGCCGAAGGACCAGGCTGACCCGAGTGCCTGACCCAGCCTTCCTTTCCCTGCTGCCTTTTGCACCGGGCGCGCATAAGAAAGGAAGAATTCGAGTGAAGGTTTTAGGAGGCAGTGTATCAACTACTCCCCAGCTCCACCGGTATCCTAGGCTAACCTGGGCCAATGTTGCAAAGGGACTAGAGGGGAAAGGTGAAGAATTATCCTGCAAGAAGGCAATGGCCTCCATACTGTTGTAAAGAGAGTTGTGCAGACATTTGCAGCTGTGAAATGACCGCCAGGAATAAACTTGACTTGAGAAGCTCTTTACCTGCCTCTGCAGGTGGTGGGATGAATGTAAAAGGAAGATGTGAGTCTCAGGAGACTCCGCTTGGCCCTGCTTGAGTGCAGTGGTCTTCAAAGGTAAAGTCTCCTTTATAAGGTGGCTGCTTTTCCCAGTGCTCATTTCCTACCCTCCAGATAAACTTTACAAAGGATTCGGAGAAGTTGGAACAGATGCAGAGAGGGCCTGTGTGCAATCGGGGATGACCAGCAGGAACCAGCCCCTTCCCTGGCCTCTCAAGGTGGAGGAATGAGGGGTTATGTCCAGGCAGCTGAATGTTGAGGTCCCTAAGAGCAAGCAAGAGCATCCAGGGTGCCTTCACAGAAGAGATGCTTTCATTTGGAATCCTACACAGAAGAGGTCTGATGGGACAGCCTCAGAACGACAGGAACTTTGTTATTGACCAATCCCGATTTTGTGCTGAGAATGTTTTGTGACTTGAAGCACCACTTTCAATTTACTTATACATTTTTGTCACACACACACAGCACACTGCTCCTTCCATCTTCTATGTCCTTTCTACTATTTTCCTGTTGGACAGAAAGTGAATATTTGGGGAATATTTATTTGTTCAATCCTGATGTTCACCAGTCTGTCACAAACTCTTTCCATCTTGATCAAATACTAACCGGCACAATTTTTTCTAGCCACGTTTGTCCTGAATACTTTTTCAGTCAAAAGCCAGCATGTAAGTATTGAAATAAAGAGCCAAGTAAGCCTGATTTTATTAACTCGATTACCCAATTAACCCACCTGGGGCTAAAACTAACTGCATGTTGTGGGTCTGCACATGTCACACCAATCCTTGAAGAAATGTTCAACTTCCTGCTCTTCGGCATATTTCCTCTCTCCAGCCACTCCTTGAACAGGAGTTCCCTGCGCACACGCACTTGGGTGTGAAACTCGGGGAGCTTGCAGGTATATAACACTTCAGAGTAGCGTAGGAGTTTGAATCCTCAGCCCACCCTCACCCCCAAAAGGGTCCTTCGGAACCATCTCTAGTGCCCGGCAGGCTTTCTCCATGCCCGCAGCTGGTTCATCGCCTAATGCATTTGCCCTAAAAGGCTTACAGGAACTTTGTGCTCCTGCAACGAATAAAAACCTCCATCCTTCTGGCAGCGGCTATCACAGAATCATTGTGCGATTAACTGGAGGAAGGGACATGGTGCTCAGAACATCTGGCCAAACAGCAGATGTGGATGCTGTGGTGGATCCAATTAAATGGAAATAAGTTTTATGAACTGCTAAGCCCTGCACAGACAAGATGATAAAGCGCTGCACGAAGTAATTCTATACTCCCCTGGGCATTTATTGCAGGTAACATTATTTTGCAGAGACAATGGTCCCGCCCTGCAGAGGACTCCTGCATTAGTTCAAAAGAATGGAAATCAACGTTCTTTTGTCCTGCATCCAGAGACCTTTCTTTGTGGGCCAACAGTCTGCAGCAGGCAAGGGCTACTACGGTCCTCATTTCTGGAGCTGCTTTTCTGCCTCTGCTATTTGGGAGACTTCTCAGCATCTCACCGTTCTTTTCTTTTAGCCAATGTTAAAATGTTTCCTTCAACTCAAATGGCTCATTTGGAATGGGATCCTGTTTCCAGAATATCCTGAGCTCCTGGAAAAATAAATAGCACCAGGAAATTGCAGTGTTTAAAATATAATGATTTTTTAAAAATTCCTAACGGCAAATGTAGATTGTACTTGGCAGAAAGGATAGAGTATGGTTGCTGCTCAGATGTTAGAGGGCTTTTCCCACAATCTCCAAAACGAGGAGCGTAGCCTCATCTTTCCGTCTGTATTCAAATTCAGTGGAAAAGCTAATCAGTTTGCTCAAAGTGACATTTGGCTAGACGCTCTCAAAGGTTTTCTTTAAATATCTCTGACTGCCCAGGCATCCAGTTTGCTGAGCTACTCAAAAGAAGGCAGAATGTGACCACAACAGCCCTTTAGTGCTAGCCTCCAGGCAGCCTCTGGAGTGGGTTCTGGTCGTGTGGGTCACCCACATTCCCTTATCAGTTCTCCGTCCAACACTTGTGAGAAGAAAGCTGGCTGGAAGAGTGATAAGGAGATGTGGGGGACTTCAGGAATTCCCACAAAACCTGCAAAATAGAGCAAAGAGAAGAAGATGGAGAAAAAGGGGTTGACATCACCCATCACCTCTGGAGGCATCAGGAGATCTTGCCGTGCCAGGAGGCCGTCTCCTGCGTGTGCGTGGGTCCTCCTGGGAAGAGAGCTTGTCCTCCTCTGGGGACAGACCAGGAAAGGGCTGCCTCTGCCCATCCCAATGCCTTCAGCCGAAAAGCCCAGCCCATTCATACATTTCATAAACATCAGGTTCCCTCCTCACATTCTGGGGATTGGACCATCCATTTCACCAAGTCTTTTGTTTTTTTATAAAACTTGATCTGATTGGCTATACAGAGCCACGGCTTTGCCATAATTAGGATTACTAAAAGGTCAAGATCCCGCCTACTTTCCACTTGCAACCAAGTCCTAGCCCTTAGGAGCCCTTAAAAACCAAACTCTGCTTCCAGCAGCTCAAATCCTGCCAATATTCTGACCGCTTCTCCCCCCAGGCAAAGGGCGATCAGGGCGATCCAGCACTAGTGAATCGGGTCCCTTTTTAAGGGAGATGAGTTCAGATCATCTGGTAATGCACCGTGCCCAGGAGAAAACCCTGGCAGGCGCCTGTGTCCAGCAAGCCCTTTCTCGGGGCTGGTGCTGGCTTCTTTTCTCCTCAGGCCTCTGGGCTCCCATCCTGCAGCCAGGGATGAGCAGCTGCATTCAGATGCTGACATAATGTGGTGGGACAGCAACCAGGTGCATCCAGAGAGCTGTGCCCACCTGGCCGGTGCCTTTGAGGAATGCGAGTGGGGCTGCCATGGCTGTGGGACTGCCCTCCCTCTGCCCCCATTGTTTTCCTGAGTTGCTGAGCTAAGGAATGTTCTCTTTGCATTGCTTCATGTTTGTTTAAGCCCTTTTCAGTCCCTCCTAGGGAGGCACGGCATGACTCAGTGGCCAGCAATGGATTCCCCCCCAGGGCAGTTTGCAAGAGCCACCCATTTGGACATGGCTACTCTTCTCTTCTCTTCTCTTCTCTTCTCTTCTCTTCTCTTCTCTTCTCTTCTCTTCTCTTCTCTTCTCCTCTCCTCCTTTCCCCTCCCCTCTCCCTTTTGGGTCATCCTCTCCCCCTTACCTATGTGCTTGGGGGTTTCTCGAAGTTGACTCCCACTTCCTTCATTCCAATCAACTTCTGGTCTGTATTTTGTTCAGATTCTGGCACTACCAAAAGCCAATCTTGAGGCTCTGGGAAGGCTAAGGAAAAGGACTAGAAGGTGAGATTTGGCTAGCTGGAGAGACAGCAGTGCATCATGTTGTGCCTAGCCATTTTGAATGCACTGAGTCTGCTGCCCAGGTAGGACAAGCACTCCCTCCTCTGGCTGCCTCATTTTGGAAGAACACAAATAGCTACAACCCACTGATGGCTGCAGTGGCTGATGTGGAATGGGTTGTTGGAAAGGTTGATGTCCCCCCCCCTAACCTGCCTTTCTTCTGCCATGGGGCAAAGAACCAGACATCAAAACCAAAGAATCAACTCTGTAAGGCAGCCCTCCTGGGTTGGGTGGAAATGCCAGCTTTTCTATCTGTTGATGTACTCAAAATAACCACTTCCACCCACAGAGCAGCATGGAAGCTGCTTTCCAGATGGGCTGAACATTCAGGAAGGTGTTTCCCTTCCTAGAAACATTGCTTTCAAAGCAGTTATTCTATGACAACTACTGGGGGGAAAAGGGGAGGCAGAGCTAGAAATAAGCAGGATCTGGGAGATTCCTCCTTTGCTTTCCTCTGGGGAGAAACCAGAGGCCTCTAGAGGGCGGCACTGACCAGCCTTCTCCAGGAGATCAGCCTGAGAATCCGGGCAGATGTTCTGCTGGCCTCCCTTAGAATCCCAGGGCAAAAAAAAAGGCACCAACATGGGCAGAGAGAGCTGATTTTAGGACAAGGGGTTGAGCTGGTGTATCCAGGCAAAACTCTCCAGCATTCTGGCTTTTAAACGGCCAAATCTGCCAATTCCCAGAAAGAATCTCCAGAACATGGTCCACACAACAAATAAGTCAGGGTCTTTATGTCTTATATATTATTTATTACCACTGACTTCAATAGCCTTCTATTATGCAGAAAATAATTCTACCTTCAGAATGAACTTATTTAAGAAGCATCTTCAGTGTGAGTCAGTTGTACCTGTCAGATAATGAAAAATGGGTACAATATGC